GGGAAGTCAGGAGAGGTAAGGGACCCATGTCCTCTGCTCAAGGGGAGTTGGCCAGGGGCTAGGCCAGGGGGTGGACCGGTAGCAAACTTAGTCGCGTTTCATAAGCATGTTACTTGGTTTCCCTTTTGAGTTTTATAAACTTTAGGGAAGACTCCTGTAAAACGTCTGCCTGGTTGAAACTGTCCTTTCTCATCTTAAGTCCATTCGGGCTGCTGTAACAAAAATACTGTAGACTGGGGGGTTTACGCCACAGAAATTTATTTCTCACAGTTTTGGAAGCTGGGAAGTCTAAGATTAAGGTGCTGGTAGATTGGTGTCTGGTGGGGACCAGCTTCCTGGTTTGGAGATGGGCCATCTACTCGCCATATGTTCACATGGCAGAAGGGGCCAGAGAACTCCCTGGGGTCTCTTTTATAAGAGCACTTAACCCCATCATGAGGGTGCCACCCTCATGACCTAATCACTTCCTAAAGGCCCCACCTTCTAATACCATCACCTTGGGGGTTAGGATTTCAACATATGTTTGGAGGGACACAAACATTCAGTCCATAACATACCTGGACTTACAGAAGAGTCACGAAGACCAGTCACGAAGACCAGTGTAAGAGAGAACAGCATGCCCCCACCTCACCCCTCAGGCAGGTACACCGGTGACTTTGTACTCAGTAAGCAGGTTCCAAAGGGAATGGAGTTGAGGCTGAGAAATCCCACTTCTTGGTCCCATCTGGACCTTCATTTGTCATTGCCAAACTTGCTGATCTAGGCTTGATGTGATTAAAGGAATAGGTGGTCCCCGACAGAGCTGTGTGACCTTGGGGAAGTTACTTGACCTCTCTGTGGCCCTTTCCTTAGCTGTAAAATGGACATAACACACCTGTATCAAAGAATTATTGTAAGTATTACAGGAGTTGATGTTTGTGAAAATCTTAGAGCCATGCCTGACACACAGTAAGCACTATATACGTGTTTGGTTAACAAAAATAATCATGATCATGTTATTATATATTGGACTTCAGACAAATCAACACAAAATTGATGGCAATTAGCCATTAGCAGGCGTGGTAGGCAGAATTCTAAGATGTCTCCCAAGATTCTGGGTCCCCGGTATCCACACTCCTTCTGCCAGTTATTCAATTCGACACTAATCCAAGTGGTCGTTTGAAGGGATTTTGCAGATGTGACTAAGGTCCCAAATCAGGCGATGATCTGGGTAGTCCTAACTTAATCAGGCGAACCCTCTAGAAGCAGAGTTTCCTCCAGCTGGCCACAGCAGAGGAGCTGGGGAGATGCAAGCCACTTGGCCTGGAAGAGCCGCATCCGCATCCTTGCCGTGAAATTCCTAGGGAGGGGGCCCCAGAGCAAGGAACTGTGGGAGGTCTCTAGATGCTGAGGGCAGTTCTCAGCTGAGCGCCAGCAGGAAAACAAGGGCCTGAGTCCTACAGCTGCAAGGAACCGAATTCCGTCAACAACCAGCGATCTGGGAGGAAGAACGCCCCAAGCCCCAGAGAAGCGTAGCCTGGGTCAGTACCTTGATGTCAGCCCTGGGAGACGGTGAGCAGAGAATCCGGTCACACTGTGCCTGGACTTCTGACCCTCAGAAACTATGAGATCATAAATTTGCATGGCTTTAGGCCACTACGTTTGTGAGAATTTATTTTGCGGCAACAGAGCACTAATATAGTGAGAAAAGAAAAAAAGCCAAGTAGGTGCAGGTAACAAATGACCAGTTAGATGATTTTGTTCAAAGGCCAGGCAGCCTCCTCTCCACCCTGCCACATTACGGGCGAAGATTTTTGACACTGACCAAGTTATTACAAAGTACTCTCCGTTCAGAAAAAAGAAATGGCATTTGCCACTCAGGGCTTGGTCTCACGGGAAAATGTGTGCTGTACTCACCAGCATCCCGGCCGAGGCAAGGCTGAGCTGCCTGCCCCCAAAGCAGCAAGTCTGGGGCCTCCCAGGCTGGTTTCCTTCGGTTGGGGAGAGGGCTGGGTGACGTCCAACCTCCTACAGGTGTGTGCAGACCTTTGACCTACATATTTGGCTCCGCCTCCACTTCCAAGACCGGCCTGGAATTGGCAGGGGATTTCAGGACCCAGGGACCAGAGCCCTGGGATCTATGGAAAAGGACAGAAACCAGAGAGCTTAAGGCTTAAGAGCTCTGGCCTCTTCCTTAAACTCTGGTATAGCCACCTACGGTGCGACTTTTTGTAAATTCCTTAACCCCTCCGCACCCCCATCTGGAAAATGGGGATAACAGAGTTGTGAAGGTTTGAGGTAAGGCTTACAAATCACTGATACGTAGGACCTCGCCGTTAGCGAGCCCACTAAAATGGGAGCTGCTGTTTAACTGCTTTTGTTGCTGCCTGGGTCTTCTACCCAAGCCCTAATACCAAGCGTTCATCGTATTATAAATACCCAACCCCGTTCTCCACAACAGACAGCTGAGCACATCTTGGTCCCTTGTTTCTGAGCCCCAAGCGTCTGCCTAATGACTAACTGCTCCAACCTGGTACACGGAGTACCGCACCACGTCAATCAACCCCGCTACAAACCCAGAGTCAATCAATTGTCCTTCCTTGCCTTCCTCTTCTTGCTCCCTTGTTTCATTAGAACAGGAATTGTGCTAGAGATGGGTACCAACCGGTCAGCATCTTCTACTGGAATGAAACCAAGGGAATGCAGTCACCGACAATAGGAGACTGGGCTACAATAAGTAGGAGTTAAGTTAGCACTCTAAAAACAGACATAGTAATTACCATTTTTAAAAGATGGTTTTGTGAGGCTAAAAATCTACATCCCTCATGCATGAAGGGGGGGGGGGGTCTATGAAATGTCACCGAACCAGTTTGATGAATTTATGAGGTTGTGCCAGATTGTGGTAAGTGTTCAAAGGTATATGCCACTTATAAATATAACCACATCTAGACTCATAAAAATAGGCTCCCTATTTAAATCGAATCTTCTTTCTGAGCACTGCTAAATGAGGTAATTTGAAATTTTCCCAAACTGCAATGAGGGAGGTAGTGGTGGTATTTTTCCCATTTGTGGAGATGACCATCTATTATAGGGATTTGCAAATTGGTTAATTGTCTGGAAGATTTAAGAAGAAAAATGCTGTTCTAGTAATTCTGTACCATCCTGCACTCAGAGGATTTGGTTGAGGGAAGATTAACATAAGCAAGAGTCTGCCCGATACATTTTAAATGAGAAACCAGGCTATTTTTTGAACTAATGTTCTCAAAAAGAGAACGATAGCAAAATGCCTATCATTCCTTACTCCTTAGCAAATGATTCCCCCAACTACAGTGTTAAGATCCAGAAAGTCAACATAATATCTTTGCCTGTCTCCTTCATGGTGTCTAGAAGAGGGCCTAGCCCAGACACAGGCACGGATTATTTCCTGAATAAGTGAATTAGCGAAATTAAATGAATTAGCAAGTGGCAGGATGCTGATGTTCTTTTTGTCTAAATTCTGAGCAGTTATAAATGTCAACACGATCAGATGGAGAAGGAAAACAAAGGAGCAGGGAAGTGGGGTTCTGTAGAGTCATATTTGCATTTCGGGGTACACTGGACGGGAAGAAGGAAACCCAGCGTCAATGGAATTTATCACTACAAAGTTTTTGTTCCTGAATGGAAATTTCCAGAGCCCATGTTGTAAACCATCTTACAATGGGTCATTTATAAGGAGCCTTTTTGCTTAAGTGACGATGTGGCAGCAGCGCCATCTGCTGGGTAACTAGTTGGGCATTTTAGAAACACATTCTAGAAGCCTTTTTTTTTTTTTTTTCCAAAAAGCAAATTGAATTTAGAGTCACGGAAATTATCTCAGAAATATCTTTAGAGATAATCTAGGCCATGTGTCATCTTACAGGTAAGGACTGGCCCTAAGTCGGTACAACACTGTCTTTCTTTCTGTTGATACAATGGAGCCCCAAATTCATCTCTCCGAGAGAAGACGGACTACAGCCGTTATTACTAAACTCTATTACAGGTCTCATGTAAATCAGAAACTGAAAGGCAGTTAAAATCCACTTGTTAAGCATCCGAAGAGTGCTGTCCAGTAGAAATGTCTGCAGCGATGCAGCAATAGAACTTTCTGCAATGATCCGTATCTGTGCGTGCTGTCTAATACAGGAACCCCTAGCCGCGTGTGGTTATTAAACGTCTGAAATGTGGTCAGTGACACCGAAGAATTGGATTTTTAATTTTATCCAATTTTAATTACTTTACGTTTTTAAAAATAGCCAGCCACCGATGGCTAGTGTAAGTGGTTCTCAACCTGGGCACTATTTGCATTTTGGACTGCATCATTCTCTGCGGTGGGGGCTTGCCCGTGCACTGCAGGGTGCTTTAGCAACAGCCCTGGCCTCTCCCCACTAGATGCCAGGGGTACCCCCCCGGCCCCCGCAAAGTTGTGATGACCAAAAAAGTCTCCAGACATTGCCCCAGAAATGCCCCCTAGGGCACAAAATCACCCCTGGTTGAGAACTACCGCGCGAGTCGCTACTGGAATGGACGGCATAGTTGTAGAACATGCCTAATGGTTTTCTCATAAGAACGGGGAAGCTTAAAAAAAAAAAAAAAAAGTCAGATGTAGACAAAGAAATCTCTTTCTTCTTTATCCTCCTTCCCACGTAACAGATGGAGCCCCGAGAGTCATGTCTGAAGATTCGACCTCACGCCAGAGTCCCCAGGTTAGCCTCATAAAACCCATCCTGGAACCTGGCTTCCCTCAAGTCACTGTGAGGAACTGGAGGAACGGACCTCCCGGAGTCTCAGCGGCTCCCCTGGAGAAGGGGAGGGGGGGCTGGTACCCACCTGGCAGGGCCGCTGGGAAGGCAGAATTCGTGCTTCAGAAGCGGTTCAAACAAGAGTTGGGATTTTCACCGCCCTCTTCTAGGGAAGGGCGGAAAGGCCTCATGCCTCCCAACCAATAATACCGAAGTTCCCAGTGTGTTTCCAGCGAAAACAAAAATCTCAGTGACAAGACCAGCGAAGCTCTATGAACCTGACTTTATTTCAAAATGCCAGCGGCCACAACTCGGGGTGGGTTGTTTGTGATGCCAGTCCCTTGACACATTTACATGTGAAGGAGAAACCGTTTCAGCTCCTCGGGGAGGACAAGCCCATTGATCTTGTGATGCTGCTGGGTCCTGAAGCACTTCCGGATCCTAAGGCGGCAGAGCTGCAGCAAAGAAGGGGGCCCTGGAGAAAGATCGCAAGACAAGCCACACGTTGGTGTCATTGATCTAAGGCTACTTCTCCTTTCCTTCCTGACAACAGACAAGCTGCAACACTGTCATAGGGAAATAACATGGTTCTGCTTAAGACCATTTTCGGGCTTTTGTAGTAGGAGGCATTTTTAGGCCACGTTCTCTCTTTTTCTGGTAGCTAGCTGAAATGAGCTTATTCGGTTTTGATTTAGAACAGACTGGAAAAAAAAAGTCAAAGCTTAGTCTCACTAATGGAGGTTTAAGGCAGCTAATTTTGGAATTAGGAAGCCACACAAAATTCCCAATAATGAAAACGAAATTCTCGTTTAACAGCTTTCTTGTGTTTTACCTTAAAAAAGAAGGTATTTCCAAAAAAATAAGGCATTTCTAGATACAAACATTTTTATAATTTAGCAATTTTAAGATATTCGAATATACTGAGCTATCAGTGAAGCCTACGGGTATGTTATCTTCTCCAGGCCTTTGTTTTCTGTTCTGCATTCAGAGCTAACCCAATGCTTCGGCTCAGAGGTGAAAAGTAAACGAGCACAAACTTTGCATCGGGAACCAGCCAAGAGCTTACATTTTAGGACAGTGGTTCTCAACAGGGGGTTGGGTGGAAGGGAAAAGGAAGGGAGACTTGGCAAAGCCTGGAGACACTTTTGTTTGACACCACCTGGGGGAGAGGTGTTACTAGCATCTAGCGGGTCGGGTCGAGGCCAGGGATGCTGCGAAACATCCTAGGGTGCACAGCAGTCCCCAAGGGGCCCAAAATGTCACCAATGCTAAGGCTGAGAAACCCCACTATGAAGTAAAAGGATAGGAAACGATTTCCCCCTACCCCCACCCCCTGCACCAAATTGTAATGGGAACTCTCTTTTTGTTATTAAACACACACACAAAAGCAAAGCTATATACCCTCTAGAATCCCATAGAGCAGTGGCCCTCAATCCAGGCTGCATTTCAGAAGCACCTATCAGGGGGAGCTTTAAACCACAGGACGTTGGGCCCCACCCCAAGGCCGTTGCTTCTGCTCATGCTGGGTGGAACCTGTGCATCCAGATTTTTTAAAGGCACGTGCCCCAGGTCATCTTATCGTGGAGCCAGGGTTGAGAACACGAGTGAAAGGATACAGCGGCTCGGCTTTGCGACGGCAGCCCTACAAGCCGAGGAGCTGGGCAACCTGTATCAGCGCAACGGTAGGCAAGCAAGTAAAAAGAAGAAATAAGGGCAGAGAGACCCCTCCACAACCAAAGAAAGCAATGCAGTCCTGTCAATGTGGACGTCCGAGCACATTCACAAGGCCCCCATCGGGCCTTAGGGCACCTTCCGGACTCTGTTCAGGGGACTCAAGGCAGCTCCTAATGAACTGCTTCCTGGTGGACTCAAGGCATATGTTAACAAACTGCAAAAAGTACTCGGTGGGGAAACGGAACTTACTTCCATCTCACTAAGGAAGGTCGAAGGACGTGGCTAATCATATGCGCTAGACACGTGGGCGCGGACAACTGTGGGACGTACGGATAAAGCAGTATCGGAAGATGCAGAAAAGCAGGACATCCGAGGAAGGTCAGCGCAACTACCGCTACTAATTGAATACCTGCTGCTTACCCTAAGTAGGGTGATGCACAACAAGTGTAGCCTTAAGTCCCAGAAATAGAGCTGAAAACCCACTATAGCTCCTGCCATGCTGGGCTGAGAGTCATTTTTAGTTTTCATTGTGTGCCGTGAGTAAACACTGCTTTAGATGCTTTTCGAGGCCAGTGGGGTGGTCATACTCCTGAACTCCTTTCCTGGGACATCCAGAGACCGAATTTGCTGTGTTGGATCTGCAGGTCTGGCTCTCTGCACTTGGCCTGGCCCCACGCCCTGTGGGCTTCCAGACTGCTGAGAGGTGACCTCACCAAAACCCCAAAAATGACTCATGGAGGCAAAAGCAGCAGTAATTTTCTCGAGGAACAAATGACATTTTATAAAGCAGTGCGATCATTGACCACACTGTCACCAAAATGGGAATTAAAGGAATGAAAGGCAATGCAGGTGGGACACCTGGGTGGCTCAGTCGTTAAGCGTCTGCCTTCGGCTCAGGTCATGATCCCAGGGTCCTGGGATCGAGCCCTGCGTCGGGCTCCCTGCTCTGCAGGGAGCCTGCTTCTCCCTCTCCCACTCCCCCTGCTTGTGTTCCCTCTCTCGCTGTCTCTCTCTCTGTCAAAAAATAAATAAAATCTTTAAAAAAAAAAAAAAAGAAAAGAAAAGAAAGGCAATGCAGGTGCCTACAAATGGCCTGCGGAATCGAGTGGAAGGGAAGAGTCAGTGGGGGCAATTTGAAAATCCAATGGGATTTTTTGCTGAGGCAGGGGATGAGGGACTGTAGATATAGATACTGATATATAGATATGGATACACACACACACATATACACACATACGCACACACACGCATGCACGTGTGTGTGTGTGTGCACGACTTTGTAACTTTAGGGGGCCATGAGGCACTTTTGCTTTTGTGGATCTCTTTCCCAAGTAAAAAAAAAAATGGTATTTTACCACTCTGTCGGTATAAAGACACACATAATCCAGGTTGAGTTTTATCCCTTTCTTCCTTCGGATTTTAAAAGAAATGAACACATTTCTATGGGCCCCTAAAAACATGGGCCCCAAGCATTGTGTCGTCTGTACCTGCTGGAGAAATGGGCCCTATATATAGACAGATAGAATTTTTTAAAAAACAATCATCGAAATGCAGGGAGAGTGGCCTGGTGATGATTAGTCACACTGCTTAACGTAAAGGGGTTTCTACTGAGCTGTGCCTTATGCCTGACACTGCTCACGGAGGACAGGCCTCGTCTGGAGGCCCTAAGGCAGGGCTTTGGCTGCAAGTATGCTGGGCAGTCGGAGTAGGAGGAGGAAGATTCTGTGGCCGCTTTACAACTTTGCACGGAGCTAAGCCTAATCCTCAGCGTGCAGGCAGAATACAACCCGATAACCTGCCATCAGAACCCCTCAGGTAGGGAAGCCTGCTTCAAAGTCCCACAACCCCGAAAACGTAACAAAACCCACACTTGAGTAAAAAAGCAGATCCTGAGCTGGCTGCTCTCCGTTACAAGGGACAATTAGGAACGCCATCGGAGGGGTCTCTGCTCCCAGCCCACCCCCAACCTCACCACCCTATCCCCTTGCACGGCTCTCAATGACAGTGTTTAGTTGTTTGGGTTGCAAGCGTCGGTTCCTATTTGTGGGGGGAGTGTGGACTTAGGTGTTGATTGACTTGCAACAGTAAATGTCTTCAGATTGCTGTCGATCATTAAAGGAAGACCTTGTAGCACTTAACGAGTAGCCTTCTTGCCCCCAGAAAGCAAGTGCAGCAGTTTGGCCCATGTGTAGTGCATCCCGGGGGCATGGTACAACCCCGAAGAGGATTCTGTTGCATCATCCTAAAGCATGTTTTAGATATAATATCGAAAGTTTAGAATAATGTTAATTCTTTCAAAGCTGGCCTACCCCATACATGAACACGAGGTCATCCAAAACAGCCTGTCTCAACATCCCAAGCGACAGATGGTTCTTTACCACGTAACCGGGACCATACCTTGTTGGACACTAGATTATCTCAGCTCCCCACATTCGCTGGCGGCAGAGAACGGTCTTTCATACAGTATCAGAAGTCAGAACTCGGTAAGTACCTGCCTCCTGCGAGAGCCCACAGGAGTCACTATGGATTAGGGCTTAGGTTCGGGCAAAGGAGAAGCACCTTCTCTCTGCAAGAAGAGCTGCATCAGGGGGCTCTCTGGAGGCACCAACTCCGAGGGACGTTTGCCTTCGGCGTTCTTGGCCTGGGTGTCCGCTCCGAAGTCCATGAGCAGCAGTGCCAGGTCTCCACAGGACGCTCTGGCCACTGCATGAAGAGGGGAGTCCAGACCTCGGCCTTGGTTCACGCTGGCTCCTAAAGAGTCACAAGAACAACAGAGGCAGCCAGGGAGCAGAGTCCAAGCGTCCCCCTTCTCACAGCACTGTGCCCCCAAATCCCTTAACAAAAGCGCTTCGACAGTGGGCCTGACAGTCCCGGGAAAATGGGAGATGACTTCAATCCATTGAATAAGACGGGGAAAGTGCCATCAGACGATGTGACTGAAGGTACAAGGCGAGCTATATAGCATACGCGGTTTAAAACCTTGCCTCTGAGTGCTGACCACAGGCGTGCTACCTACAAGTAAAATCCTCTTCAGGAGTAAGGTGGATTTCTAGGACCACCCCAAGCCAATTCCATCCCTACGCTCTCTACAAATCCCCAGTCTGGCCAGCTGCAGGCTCCCACCGGGACATGTGGGGACATGTGGCTTTGCCTGAGCTGCAGTCCCCCTCGTAAAATGGAAACCAATGCCCCTGGACAAATAGTAGCTGGATTGTTTCGGTACTGTTCTTGGTTTTGTGAGGGAGGAGAAACCCTACCCTTCCCTGATGAAGACCTTAAAATCTCCCTAGAGCATTGGGGGTGCGGGGAATGAGGGAGGGAGAAAAGGACAGTGGGAAGGAGGGAGGGAAGGAGAGAGAGAGAAGGAGAATGAATCTCCTAATTCATGGCAATGGCTGCCAAATGAGTAGAAGGCAACAAGAACCACAGGAATGTTCAGGGGAAGGGAAGGGTTACTGGAGTTTTAAAGAATAAGCAGGACTCAGGTCATTACAAGGGTGATGAAGTGGAGTTCCAAGGCTGAAGAAGGGTCTGGACAACAGCAGGGAGATGAAAAAGAATGATGTGACACGGGGCTTTCCGAGGAACACAGAAGATCGACAATGAGCTAAAAATGGGGCAAGCTGAATCTCCAAACCAAGGCAAACTGCAGAAGAAGGCCCTGGGGGGAGGCCGAGCCCGGCTCCAGCTGCTGTACGAGTCCTGCCGGGCTAAGAATGACTGGCCAGAGGGAGGAGGTGAGACGGAAGGGGGGGAGAACAGACAATCACCGAGGACCACCCTGGGAGGAGATACGCTCATCATCATCGTTCTCATTACAAGTGAGAGAGCCAAAGTGCGAACAGTGTAAAATCTATCCTCCCCGGGAACACAGCCACCCCGAACCCTGACCTCATCTGACGCCGTGGTGCACACTCTTCCCCCTGCTACAATACAAACTGCTTTAAAAGACGTTCGGGTTACTTGTCATTTTCTTTCCTTGTTCCGTGTGCTTTTTGCATTACCTGACTCAAGAAGCTTCTTGGCACAAGCCACCTGCTGGTTTTCACAAGCCAAATAGAGCGGCGTGCCCAGGTGGCCAATGTCATGGTCCACGTCGCCCCCGTGAGCCGCAAGGGTCTCCACACACGCCACATGGCCTGCAGCCCAGGGCAGAAGAAAGACATTCTCTTAGCCAGGGAAACACCACCTTCCCTCTCTCCTGCGTGCTTACGCTTGCCACGGACCAAAAGCTATTTCCCAGTTACTGGGCTGCCTGGAGGAGGTTCTCTCTCTGCAGCTCCGGGCGGAACTCCACTGGGGTTTCCGAGCCACGGGAAGCAACCAGCAACCTGTTGCAAGTGGCTGTGGCCTTTCAGTCAGACTGAATACAGAAATGGAAGGGGGAATGGGCAGAGGGCTGGAGGAACAGGGACTGCACGTAGGCCTGAAGAAGAAAGGGCATGGTATGGGCCATGGGCCCGAGGAGGCAGCCCAGAAGCTCACCCACGGCCGGCCCGGGGAGAAACAGGCCACTGTGGACACAGGCGAGGCTGAGAAGCAGCTGCCCAGTCCAACCCGAGTGGGGCCCAGCCTGGCAAACTAGGTTGGTGAAAGCCGAATCGCTCTTGCTTGGTCTAGAATGTCATGCTTTCAACACTACTCCTTTGCGTTTCTCTCTCTCTCTTTTTTTTTTTTTAAGATTTTATTTATTTATTTATTTGACAGAGAGAGACACAGCGAGAGAGGGAACACAAGCAGGGGGAGTGGGAGAGGGAGAAGTAGGCCTCCCGCCGAGCAGGGAGCCCGATGCGGGGCTCGATCTCAGGACCCTGAGATCATGACCTGAGCTGAAGGCAGGCGCTTAACCAAGCCACCCAGGCGATCTCTTAACGAAGAAAAGTCAATGCTTTGGGAGATAATTATCATAGGAATGGATTCAGTGAAATAGGGCTGCTGTAAAGGCTCATGGGGAGCCATTCTGTGACAGCCACTGGGGAAATAAACACTCTTCTGGCCACGCGTGGTCATGATGGTGACAATGGGGAGAAGCAGAACTTGCCATTGTTTTGTACCAGACTATGGTGTTATGAAAAGAATTACCCCAGCTGAAGAAGTTCTGGAGACCTAATATACAGCATGGTAACCATACGCAACAATACCATAGTGTATGCTTGCAATTTGCCTAAGAGTAGATCTTAAGTCTTCTCCCCACACACAAAACATGGTAACTCTATCAGGCGATGGATGTGTTCATTAATTTGATTGTGGTAACCGTTTCATAATGTAGGTGTCTATCAAGTCATCATGTTAGTACACCTTAAATATATACAAGTTCATTTGTCAATGTTAACTCAGTAAAGCCCGGCATGGTGGAGAATTACCCTGAGCTATATATAGCATCTTATATTTCCAAAAATTGCAAGTTTGTTTCACTTAGAAAACCTAGGTGGGGGGGTGGTGCCTGGGTGGTTCAGTCAGTTACGTGTCTGCCTTTGGGTCAGGTCATGACCTCAGGGTCGTGGGATGGAGCCCCATGTCGGGCTCCCTGCTCAGCAGGGAGTCTGCTTCTCCTTCTCCGTCTGCTCCTCCCCCTGCCTGTGCTCTCTCCCTCTCTGAAAAATAAATAAAAATTTTTAAAGTCTTGAAAAAAAAAGAATATGATTTTAAGGGTAGTTGGCTCAGTCGGTGGAGCATGCGACTCTTGATCTGGGGGAAGGGGCTCCCTGCTCAGCGGGGAGTCTGCTTCTCCCTCTGCCCCTCCCCCTGCTTATGCTCTCTCTCAAATAAATAAATAAAATATTTTTTTAAAAAAGAAAACCTAGGTGGCCCTGAGACAATATTCTTTAGGGCCCTAAAAAAAAAAAAAAAAAGAATAGAATAGAATTTGTTTTATAAAATAATTTGAGAGGCATCTGGGTGGCTCAGTCCATTAAGCATCTGCCTTCAGGTCAGATCATGATCCCAGGGTTCTGGGATGGAGCCCTGTGTCAGGCCTGCTTCTCCCTCTCCCTCTCCCCCTCCCCCTGCTTGGTTGTTCCCTCTCTCGCTGTCTCTGTCAAACAAATAAGTAAAATCTTTTTAAAAAATTATTTAAAAAAATAAATAATTTGATTTTTCTGGGGTCATGGGTTCAACAATGTATTCCACACATCTTGATGGATAGTCTACCATGTGCCAGACCCTGTTCCAGAACCACAGCCGTGAACAACATTCCAGATGCTCTGAAAAGGTCATTCCCAAACTTTTTGTGCATCAGAAATCACCTGGATGCTTGCTAAACAAAACACAGATGGCTGGGCCCCACCCCAGAGTTGCTGAGTCAATGGGTTTGGCGTGGGGGCCAAGAATCTGCAATCGCCTGCCAGGCCAGGCTGATGTTTCTGGTCCCAGGGCCCCACACTGAGAAAAGATCCCCTAAAGACACCCTTCCTCTCACAACAGTAAGATGTCTGTTGAAGGAGGGGTGGAAAACGTAAATTCTCAACAGATTTACCTCTCTTAGCTGCTTCATGGATGGGGGACGCCAGATCACTCGCCGGGTGGGGGCTGGCCCCATGTTGCAGAAGCAAATTCACACAGTCCTGGCTGCCGCTGACACACGCATTAAACAACGGGGTGTGCCAGTCAGTAGTGACACCATTCACCTGGAAAGAAAAGCTCCAGGCTGAAAGCAGGCAGTGGGCTGTCCCGGGTTCAAATCTAGGCTCCACTACTTTAAGCTGCTATCTAACTTCTCTGAGCCTTCAGTTCCACAGCTATAAAATGAGGACAAAAATGCCAAATTCCACAAGGCTGTGAAAAACTCAATGAGGTAAAGCACTGAGAACATGTTACCGAATATTCTATCACTTCCCTGCCCCCAGGAACATGAACTTTGACACTAGTCAGGATAATCCTATATAGCTTACAAACTAATATCCCTGCTTTAAACATTCCATTCTAGACCTGTCCCACCCCAATCCAGTATCCTTTCCAGCAGTGAGAGTAACCTTTTAGAGATGTTACTGTATTATTTTTAAAAAATTTCAAACAGGACTTTCACAGAAATAGAGGGTGAATATGTGCCGAAGATTTTCTAGAACTAGTGAGATGGTACAGCTGGCTCAAGGGAGAATTTATATCTTCAGTCAATTAAATGCTGAAATAAATCTGCTAATAGATACAAGACTGGTTAATGTCCTACAGGGCCATCAAACTAGAGTCTTTGGGGCCATCTTTTCTAACGTTGGAAATCCGACCAAAGCTTACAAGTTCACATCTGACTTCGCAGCGTTTGGGCTATAATCAAATAGGGAAGAGCAAAGCCAAACGCAAATTTTCTACATTATTAAGCAAAGATATTATGAAGACGATGAAATCATTCTCACAAGCCATTTCCAAGGAAGGCGAGGACTAGTGAGGCACAAAAGATGTCCAGGGTGCCAAGTTTAAGGGGACACTCCCTCCCAGGAGCACGTGAGTGCTCAACAACCCTCAGAGGGAGAGGCTTCCTACAACTGGCACCTTAGGTGTCTCTCAGCCTCTCCACTGTCCTAGCCCTGTGTCCACGAGTGCAGTAAGTTTTCCTAACCCCAGTATAAACCCGATGATGCGCTCACCTACGGCTCTCTACTACTGCTCTCAGGACAAAGCCCATTTTCTTGGCAGGGACAACGAGGCTGTTTGTGTTCTGGCCCCTCTTACCCACTCTGCTCTGCGGCCATAAGGAGTGATTTGAAGTTAAAAAAAAAAATTGTTCACTTCCACTTCCAAGTCTTTGCATTTGCTCTTCCCAGTGGGTGGGAAGCCCATAACTCGCCCCAACCCACGACTCAGCGGGCGGATTCCAACAGGTCCTTCGCGTTTTGGCTTAGACATCATTCCCCCAGGAGGCCTCTTCAGATTTCCTCTCTCACCCCATCAGAAAAGGCCAGCAACACTTCTGTGTGCTCCTAGCAACCACCTTAGTATTCACGCTTGTCATTTGATGGCAGTTTGCAAAAACGACCACAGATTCTCTGCAGAGTATGCATATCGCTTTGCGACGCAGCGTTGCAATTCCTGCCATCACAAGATGGAGACTTCTTTTCCAATCCTTGAATCTGGGCTCACCCACGGGACTTGCTTTGCCCAATGTGACAAGAGCAAATGGGAGGCAAGCCGAGAGCTTGCCTTCTTTTGATGCTCTTGGCATCCCTGCTACCAGGGGAAGCAGGCCAGGCCACCTGGGAAAGGATGCGAGAGAGACCACACAGAGGTTTCCTGTCTCCCCAGCCACCCCAGCAGGGTCATCACGAAGCAGTCTGCCCCAGCCAACCTGTCAGCTAACCTGGAATGCCTAAGTTAGCCTAGCTGAGGTCAGCCAACCCAGGCCAGACCTGAAGAACTATCTGGCCAGCACAAGGAACTGTGAGATAAATAAATGGCTCTTGTCTTAGGTCATTAAGTTGCGGTGGCTTATTACATGGCCAAATATAACGGGTAGACACAGTGTTTGGTAATCTCCCACTGGGGCGGAGATGCTGTACATGCCACAAAGCTCTTTCCTCTCTCCGGGGCACACAGCTTCATTGTTATTTTCCCCCTCTTCTCAGCTATGGACTCTAAAGCTCAGAACCTAAATAACTTACCCAAGTTTCCGACATTAGCAAATGGTAGACACGGTTTGGGACCATTATTCAGGTCTTATGGGGCCAAACGTTCTATATTTCTATAATATTTCATTACCTTCCAGCCATGGGAACAAAGGCAGAAATCCAACAGCTATTTATTAGTAGTGACTGTTAAAGAAAATGATGCAGACTCAAACCATTACTCCCTAGCTAAAAATTCAGTACTTCATCTATCGCTAAGGCAAAGCAGCTTGATAGATGTAATACTTTTGAAAAACACCCCTCTTCCACCTTCAAATCAGGCTGGTCAAAAATGCCAGAAATTATTCAAAAGGGATGGAAATGGGCATTTGTCATGGTTTCTAAGACATTATTTGAGTCACACCTACCTGAGCTCCATGCTTTAATAAAATGTTTGCACAAGAGGGATGACCTCCGAGACAGGCCTCGTGGAGTGGGGACACACGATCTGCGGTGATGAGGTTCACAGGCCACCCCTGCAGGAGAGGAAGTGGGCAGAATAAGGGGTGCAAAGCCACAGCTCCACAGGGTGGCGTTCCAGCCACACATCCAGCCCTATGACAATGCTCCCAGTCTGACAGTACGCTAAGGTGTTGCTAATGATGTCAAACAAACAAAAAAGGAACTTTCGTGCAGCTGGTGAAAGGATAATATGCCACAGCCACTCAGGAAAACAGTTGGACAGCCTCTTACTAGAGTTGACGAGATGCATCCCTGTGACCCAGCAATCTGACTCTTGGGGATACACATTCTAGACCGACTTTTATCTTGTTCTCCCTCTCTCTTGTCCTCTCACTTGCTGGCTTTTTGTCTCGATGAGGTCCACGACAAGGATCGGAGAGCAGTCTCCAGCCAACAGCCACCCAGGAGCTGAGGCCCTCAGTCCAACAACCCGGGAGGAACTGAACCTTGCCAATGGCCACGTAAGTGAGTTAGCACTCAGGTCCACCTCCAGTCGAGCCTTCAGATGTCTCCGTCTCTGACCCTCACCTTGACTGCAGACTCATACGAGTCCCTGACCCAGGTAAATTGTGTCTAGATTCCTGACCCACAGACACTGTGAGCTAAAACAGGTCTATTACATGAAGCTGCTGAGTTTGGGGGTAATTTGTTACACAGCATGAGATGACTAACGCAGGGCCAAAGCATGAGGTGAACCTCCACTGACAGAGGCAGAAAGTCCTAAGGCTGAGGGGCGATTACGTTCTCACTCTAGGTACTCGAGGTCCGAAGAGCCAAGAGAGTTGTCAGAAGGCCCTGGGGTTCACCAACCTCTGGGAAAATATGCTCTCCAGGAGATGGATTATGAGCCCAAACCAAGCAAAATATCAAAAGAACTCCAGGAGAGGCTCCACAGATGTCCTGATCATGGAATACATTATCCTTAACAGGAGGAAACTGGGTACAATAAAAGTTGTTTTTCTTGGGACACATTAGTTAAGAACATGGTTAGTTTAACTAATGACTTGGTAATACATTGTACCTTTTCTTCCCCTAATAGTTAAAATTTGCCTAAAATCATTCCACTGAATTGCCTCCCACATCATCATTCCTAACAAACATTCTTCCACTTGTGTGACATTTATGAGTCAGTCAGCCTCCTGATCATCCTGTCCTGTCGGCTTTTATTCTCTGATGGGTGACCTCATAGACATACGCCTGAGTCAACAGGATCCTGAATCCAGAGCCTTTCTTTGGGTGGACCTGGGGAGGGGTTCTGGGAGACTCGAAATAACCCGTAAGTTATTCTCGTAAATGAGAAATTCCAACATCCCTTACAGTAGTTTGCCCCCCCGGCCCTGCTGTTCACAGGGAGGGAAGGGACGACATCTTCCCCTCCTTTGTAACCTTGCATCCCCTCTGTACCCAATGAGCACTGAATAAATGCTTACTGACCACCGACTCAAAATTGCATTGATCCCTTCACAAGTGCTGTGCGTGGACTTGAGCGTGGCATCTATTTTATTTTATTATTTAATTGGAGACATCCCCTCAAAGATTTGTTCTCAGATCCTTCTTTGCCCCCCCTCAATGCTCTATATTTGTCCAATCTCTTCCACTCACACTGCTAGAAAACACAAGAAATTCGTAACTCCCCGGGGCAACAGATCATGAGATGAAAGAAGACCTCCCCTTTAAAGGAATTATGTATTAGGTGTTCTGTTATTACCAATGTACTCCTCCGGTTACCAATGCCATTTCTCTTCTTTCTTTCTTTCTTTTTTTTTTTTTTTTAGACCATTGCCATTTCTAAGCAATCATTTGGGTACTTCTACATCAACCCAGGTAAATGAAAATGCAAAAAAGAAATGAGTCACGATACAAAAAGTTTTCACCACACATTACGTAAGCACATGACAAAGAGGGTCCTTTACCTTCAGGTTCACTTTGCAAATGTAGGACTGCCCATATAGTCCCTCACTGAGCTACGGCGCTACTTTAAATGGATGGTGGCAACTGGTCGGAACTATCAACAAATCTGAATCCTAGAATATCATCAGGTGATTTTTAACCCATTACTTCACACAGAGTCCGGTCCCCAGTGGGTTCTCTGGTTTTTAAAACATGGATTAAATGGCTTATCTTTAACCCTTTCTGTAATCAATTGTCCCTCATCTCAGCCTATCATCAGATGCTCTTTTTGACGGGGCCTGGGGGTTGGGCACCCACAGTGACACAGCGCTCGGTACCTGGCAGCTTTCTGTTCCAGCCTCAAACCACATGTCCCCCACCCACCCCCCCACCTGAACCAACCTGAAGACTACAGGAAGGTTCGGCTTTTTCCTTTGTCCTGTACACACCTGACACATCATTCTCTACACGCAGGGCAGAAGGTCACGAGCAGCTGTCTCCCTCACGTTCATCAAACCCATAAGAGGACTTCTTACATTCCCCTCTCCCCACCCCTAAAATCTCTCTGTATGTCTCCAGTCTTCTGTTCTTCCATTGCTCCTTTCTTTGAGAAAGAAACATCTGAGCTCACCCCAACAGCCTGCGACCTCACCTGGTCCCTCTGCCACCTCATGACTTGCCTTCAGCCACCTTCTCACATGCATTCCCCAGCTCTCTCCTCCTCAGGCACACTTTCCTTTTGCCTTTTGAAGTCTTCCCATCTTCATTCCTGACCCTCTACCAAACTTCCATCGAAGGCTCTTCTCCCCTTTGCTTCCCTCCCCTTTATTCAAAAATAGTCTGTCCCCATTGTCTCTACTTCTAGCCCTTCTCTCATCTACCAGCACAATCCTGCTGAAACTGCTTTTAAAGATCACCAGAGACTTCCTACTTATTGAATCCAATATATATTGCCCTGTCCTCTGCCTCCTTCCACCTCTGGATTTGCTATGTATTCATCCCAACCTCGTGAAACGTCTCCTCTGGCTTCGAAAACCAAGTTCTCCCTGAAAAAAGCTCGATCTCTGACCTCCTACTGTCCTTTTCTGTCTCTCTCACTAACTGTGTCCTTTTCCTCCTCACACCTCCTAAATGCAGGCATTTCAAGGATTTGCCCTCAGATCCTTTCTTTTTTCTCTCAATACTCTCTACATATTGTATAGGGCTTTCAAAACTAAATCTCTGCCCCTGGTACATGTTTCTAATTTCCTGCTAAGACATAACCACCTAGAGACCCAACTAACAACATAAACTGAGCCTCTGCCAACAACCAAACTCTCCCTGAAAAGGGTTCCTTGTCTCGCCAGCCCAAATTCTCTGAATGGCCCCACTATCTTGTCTCATACCTAGGATGGAGACCTCAGAGCGGGGGTAAGCAGTGTGATTCCCAAGTTCAAATGCTGGCACCATCACCTAACAAGCAGTGTGACCTTGAGCCGGTTACTTATCTCCCTAAGCCTCAGTTTCCTCTTTTGTAAAATGGGGACAATTGTACCTATCCTATAAGGTTGTTACGAGGACTAAGAAATGATGTATGCTTAGCACGCTGTAACTTGCAGGCAGTCATGATCTGAGATTTCTTCTTATTCTTTACCACTTAGCCTTCCATTAGCTGCCACATCTGAAAGATCTGATGTTTCAGAACACCGGGATCATTCCTCGTTTCCACTCGGTAGTGACTTAGCCCTTTGAGGATTGCAGGGGGCAGCATAAGGAGTTTTATTCAAGGAACTGAACAGCCAGTCTCCACCACTTGCTTGCAGCCAGACCTTATTGCTAAGGTTCTCGGTCTCAGCTGTGCCTTGGAATCACCTGGGGAGCTTTCAAACTCCTGATACCCAGGCTGCATCTCAGAGCATTTGCCATATAATCAAAGGAGGTTGAAGTCAGGTATCAGGATTTCTAAGAGCCCCACCTTATCCCAGACATCTCAAGGCGATTCTAATGTGCAGTCCAGATGGAGAACCACCAAATTAAGGTCCCATGGTACCATGATTGCTTTCTGCTGACCTAACAAACCGCTACTGTTTTTTAAAATAAATTTTTATTGAAGTGCAATAAAGTCCATACAGCCTAAGTGTCAATCTCAGTGAATTATCATAAAGAAAATATACATGTTATCACTACACAGGTAAAAAGCTTGGTATCATCGGTCTTTTCACATTGACCCCTTCCGCTGGGCAGAGCTGGTAGTACCATCTCCTACGTGAAATCTGAATTACCCCAATTACTAATCAGCATAGTGGGATACATTTACTGAATATTTACGAAGTGCCAGTCCAAGTCTCTCACTCATTTTTCTGTCGGGTTGCCTTTTTTTGTATTAATTTTAGACAAGGAATACAGGCCCTTCATTGGACGGATGGATGGATGTACATATATATACATAGCAAATATTTTCTCATCTGTGGCTTGCCTCCTTGCTTTTTAAATATTGCCTTTTGATGAAGAAGTTCTTAATTTTAATGAAATCCAACTTATTGGTCTTTTTGTTTCTTTCCTCCTACTATTTCTTTCACGTCCAATTGCCTTTCTCTCTCTCCTACACTATCATAATGGTCTCTTTTATTAAAAAAAAAAATCCTTGAACAACGAAACCGGAAGGGGAGACAAACCATAAGAGACTCTTAATCTCAGGAAACAAACTGGTTTGCTGGAGTGGAGGGGGGTGGGAGGGATGGGGTCGCTGGGTGATGGACACTGGGGAGGGTATGTGCTATGGTGAGCACTGTGAATTGTGTAAGACTGATGAATCACAGACGTGTACCCCTGAAACAAATAATACATTATGCTAATTTAAAAAAAGAAAGAAAAAAAATCCTTGAACATAGTGGTTCTACAGGAGCTTTTAAAAAACTACCAAAGCGGGGGGGGGGCACCTGGGTGGCTCAGTCGGTTAAGCATCTGGCTCTTGATTTTGGCTCAGGTCATGGTCTCAGGGTCACAGAATCGAGCCCCAAGTCGGACTCAGCAGGGAATCTGCTTGAGATTCTCTCTTCCTTTCCCTTTCCCTCTGCCCCTGCCCCCCCCCTCTCAAATAAATAAATAAAATCTGAAAAAAAAACTACTACTGCATGAAGACTGCCCTAGTTTAAATCAGAATATATGGAGTGAGGCCCAGGCATTGTTGTTTTTTTTAAAACATCCCAGATATTTTAATGTGAAGCCATGGTGAAGAACAGTTATGGATTCAGTTTCTCCCTTCTTGGGCCAAACGAGAATTTCTTTCCTCTTTTTTTTCTCTTTTCTCTTTGTTTTATAGACATTTGAATGTTGGTCTTATTTCCCTTCCTAAAATATGTTTGGTTTAGCAACTGTGTTTGTCATTATTCTTTGATTAGCCGAAGTCTTACTAGATCGTAATCAGAAAATAAATACCATGTGTGATGACGGTAACGGGAATAGGTAATTTACATGACGCCACCTCAGTTAATCCTCGCAGACCCACATAAGGTAACCTAATAGACTGAATTTTTGGTCTTAATTCTTTACTCTCCCATAGCAGTGTAATACATTCACACCCTTGCCATCACCTCACAGTTAATAAAATGTACTTCCTTCATCCTTGACTTCAGACTTGGTCCTCCGACTTGCTTTGGCCAACGGGATGTTGGTAGATGTGACATGAACAGACCGGAAGTACTCTGCCCGGCTGGGCTTGCCCTGCTGTGCTCCAGCCTTTTGCCCTGAGGACGATTATGCCCCTCCATTCGGGGTGGTTTGTTGCCCAGCAAGATCTGACTGATACAGGTCGTTATTGGAATGCTCATTTTATGAAGGCAGAAACTGAGGTTCCAAGAAGATAGGTTGCTCAAAAAATGTGATAGAGCTTAGATAAAGATATGGTTCCATCTGATGTGCAGTAAACATATAAATACTGATTATAAATGAGTATTGGTCCAATTTAATAAGTGATATAAAAGCTACAGTGATCATTTTTCATCCTACCAAAATAAGGTAAATGCTTCATTTTATCTGAGAAGCAGCTTAACTGCTTTTAGCTAGAGTTATGTGTTACTATCTAGATTTCTGTTTATAATAGGCTGCTGCTAGCATAAGCAGCTTAAGATAGTGGCTTAGGGTAGTCTGAAGTTCTTCTTTAGAAATTGTTATCTTACAGGAGGATTTCTTAGTCTAGATAGATCCATGAAATTGGAATTTTTTTTTTAATTTAAAACATTTATTTTCACTGGCAACTACCTAAAATGTCTGATGTCCTTCCATTAGGAATCCAGACAACGAACCACAGTGGTAATACGACTGTCACTGAGAGCAATCACAGACACTTTTATTGCATTACAATTGTTGTAGACATCTAAAATATCTCAAAATACCCACTCAACCTACTTAGAAAATATGGTAGTTACTGGAATCGCCACTAAATCTCATTTAATGCAGTTCATTTGTTCTTTCGCTAATTTGATAGGTCTTCTCAGTATTGGATTTCATGCATTTAAAACATTAGGCCAAGAAGGGGTCCACGGACTTTGCCAGACTGCCAAAGGGTCCAGGGTACAGAAAGGGCCAAGAGCTCCCACCTGAAAAGATCTATAGTCTTTTCAGAAAACAGAACATTCTGAACAAAAACTTTTATTAGAATTTTGAATGATGATTTCAACTGTTTTTACAAGTATCTTTGCCTAAGTTCCCAGTAATTTCAAACCAGCAAAACTCAAATTAACGTGTACTTGAAATTACACCTGTGGAGCGGAGAAACTGGTATCAAACTGGGCAGAGCCACTACCAGCTAGAGGTTCCGTAAGACTGAAAAGGTCTTTGAAATGGTAAGATTACATATTTAAAAAGACATTTTCAAGCATTTCTTTTATACCAGGGGTTTTCAACCTCCGAGCTACTGGCATTTGGGGCTGGATAGTTTCCTGAGGTAGAGGGCTGTCCTGCGCAACGGAGGATGTTTAGTGACATCCTCAGTCTCTATCCACTCAATGCCAGTAGCACTCCCCACCGACCCCCACTCCCAGCTGTGACAACCAAAAATGTCTCCAGACATTGTCAAATGTCCCCTAAGGGGCAAAATTGCCCCAGTTGAGAAAAACTGTTTCGCGTGATAATTTTCAAGAACACAGTCTATGGAGTAAAGTGAAAGCAACTTGAATGCACTAATTTGCCTGTTATTCACCCGATAGGTATAATAGTACCTATGATGTGCATAGAATTATACTAAATTCTAGTATTTACGCCAGCCTCCAGATAAAGAAATGATTAAAGGGGTCGAGATTCACCTCATTTTGCCAAAGAGGAAATTTCTATCTTAATAAATCAGACTGATTTTTTTCTCAGTGTGGTGAGCAATAGGATATTCTTAATATGTCTTTTTTTTTTTTTTTTTTTTTCAAAAGCCACATACCTGGCTGATGAGGTTCCTCAGAGAGAGCAGACGTCCATGGATGGCAGCTTCATGCACAGGAGACCAATCAGACACAACATCTGCATGGAAAGAGAGGAACAGATTATATCCTGCTAACGTGCTATAGACCCAAGGTGCATCCTCGCCCATCAATAAGAGCCCAAGGGGTCTTCCTGGATGGAGACATTGGAGTCAATCAGCCAAGACTCCCATGAGCCCTTCAGCATTTCCCCCTTCTACTGATGCTCCCAGTACACATTTTATGTGAAATGTCGAGATAGCTAAAGAACGAACTCCAGCCAGTCTCCAAACTGAGGACAAAAGAGGTAGATTGGGATGACTGACCACTGGACTTCCATTTACATACTGGTTTCAAAGGCAAAGGGTCCATTTCGTTAAGTGAGAGCTTCACTAATTACCAGCATTAGCGTGTTAAGCTGTGGTGGCCAGTCAAGCTTCCTGCATGAAATCCGAACTTGGTATCTCGGCAAACAGCGCCATATACGAATAGTAGTAATCACATCATTACATACACCATTAGGTTTGAAATCAGATTTAAACAGAACCATATCTATTTATGGACTATCTTCTGTCCCAATATCAAGCACAAAGTAGAGTTCAGTCTAACCTTGTAACAGGGACATTATCTACCCCAAAAGGAAGCATGCCAGTGTGGTTGAGAGAGCTCTGAATTCAGACCCACTTGGCTGCTTCTGAGCTGTGGGTCCCTGGACAGGCTCTGAGCCTCAGTTTCCTTCCCTGTCACGTGAGGACAGCAATAAACTTACCCACAGCTCAATACCTATTAGCTACTATCATTACCCTGCCCTACCATTAAGCAGAGTCTTGATTATACCCCACCATCACTGCTATTTCAAACAGCAAATGTATTCTACGACCATATAGGAAGAATACACATTCTTCGGAAGGAAGCCTGTAAACCCTATCCCAACATATTAAATGGTTTCCTCTCTCTAATTGAACGTGGAGGTAACCCGAATGAGGCAGAGACCTGATTTTCCTCATCTCAAGCTGTGTCTGATTTCCAGAACAAACACAGGAAGTCAGAATGTGACAAGGCAGAATGGTCTGATAGCAGTCACGCCTCCTAAAGGAACCGGTGTGTCTCCTAAGACCTGGGCAACGAGGGCAGTTACTACCGCCTTACCAACCGAAAAAGCCAGAAAGGAGGAGGCTAGGACATTTTGTACTTAACACGCGTTGGCTGAGGTCTGCCTTGCTATCTGGAGCTATCAAGGCCCTGGAAAATCTGTCCCAGGGAGCAAATTACTATCCTTCCAGATGGATTCATGAAGCATTTATAGGTAAGAGGAAGCTGAACAAGCCTACCGACATGCAGTCCATCCAATGCTTTCCTTCTGGGGTCACTACAAGTACCTTACGTGAAATGGCTTGTCCTACCTCCAAAACCTTGTGCTCAATAGAAACTTGATGGCCTCGCAGCATTCTCTGAGGTTCCTGATTCTCTCAGGAAAAAAATATTGCTGTTTCTAGGGCTTGGAGCCTACCCTCCAGACTACAGATACGGAAAGATCTGTCTCCAAGTTAGAATTAAAAGGACAACTAATTCTGCACTCTCAGAGCTAATGCAAAATACAATCCGCACAAAATCTTGAGTGAGAAGGAAGAGCCAAAAATTAAGGTTTTGAAAACCCGTTTTAAAAGAAATTTGCAAATGGTACCTGAATGGATCACCATGTGCGTGATGATTAATCCATTTCTCCTTCCAAGTGTTCAGCTGGTAAGAAACATACCTGGCACATTCCCCTTTCTTAAAGGGAGCTCGGATAATTAGAGTTGACAGCCTAAACAGTCCGGGCAGGTAATTTGGTTCCTATATTGTAACTCTGTTCAGATTTCATAAAAATGATGCAATTATATTATCAACTAGAGACAAAAATGGGCTTTACTTTCTATTCCTTCGTCTTGAAACCATTACTCCTTCCATTTACAGTAAATAAAGAATTGCGTACTCCTTTGAGAGGAATAAAAAAGGGGGCACCTGGGTGGCTCAGTCGTTAAGCGTCTGCCTTTGGCTCAGGTCATGATCCCAGGGTCCTGGGATCGAGTCCCACATTCAGGGGATCCTGCTCTGCGGGAAGCCTGCTTCTCCCTCTCCCACTCCCCCTGCTTGTGTTCCTGCTCTCGCTATCTCTCTCTCTGTCAAATAAATAAATAAAATCTAAAAAAAAAAAAAAAAGAGAGGAATAAAAAAGGCAACCTGCAACGGTTTGGTGCCCCAACTTTAGAATGTGGTATTTACAAAGCAGACACAGTCTGTGTCATCGAGAAGCACAGGATGTTGCCCTGGTGCACGTGGTGGGAGGCTGACCATCTACGTCTGTCTGTCTAACAACTTGATTGACTTATAACCTACATCCCTTCACCCACCTCAAGTGTACAACTCACTGGTTCTCACAGAGTTGTGCAACCGTTACGACTATGGTGTCAATTTTCGGACACTTCCATCATCCCCAAAAGAAACGCCTTGTCCATTAGCAGTCACTCCCCAGTTTCACTGTCCCTGACACCAGGCAGCCACTGATCTACTGTCTGTCTTTATAGATCTGCCAAAGTGAACATTTCATGTAAGTGGAATCACACGGTACGTGGTCCTTTGTGACTGGCTTCTTCCACCTAGCGTCAAGTCTCAAGGTCCATCCACATTATAGTACGTATCAGTACTTCATCCCTTTCCATGGCCAAGTAACACCCACTGTATAGATAGACCGCATTTTATTTATTCGCTCATAGTTGATGGACACCTGGGTTGTTGTTACTTCTTGGCTGTTATTAATGCCACTGCTATGAACACTCATGCGCAAATCTGTGCGTGGCTGTTTTCAGTTCTCTTGGCTTCATACCTAGGTGTGGAAGCGCTGTAGGACACGGGCACCCAGTGTTTAGCCTTTTGTGGATCTTCCAAACTCTTTTCCAAAAGGGTCGTACCACTTCATCTTCCCGTCAGCAGTGTAGGAGGCTTCCCTTTCTAATTTAAAGTCATTTCAGACTAGCGTTCGGTAAGCCTATCATAACGCGTCTATCGCTCCTGCCCGGGAGAAAAACTTGGGTCCTGGCAAAGCCAAACTTCATCTCACATTTATACGAGGACGTCAGCCTCAGCAGGTCTCTGAACAACTGAGTGATTATGTAAAGACTTAAAATCGTGACAGTGGGTAGGGGGACATTTTTCTAGCATCGAGAGCATGGAGATATGTATCTATACGCCTACATGCACACACACGGTTTAGTAAACACCGTAATTTGCAACAGGGACTGGTCCCCACACACTCTCTTTCGCTCTGGAACACACTGAAGAGATGGCAGAGACGGACGTCTTGTGTGGGTCCTGCCCTGGAAGATCAGGGAGAGGTTTCTCCAGGGTTTTCCGGAACCCACACCCAGGCAGGCACTGAGCTATGGATGGCAGCTTTGCCTGCCTTCCTGCTAACGCCAGAGAGAGCACGCAGGCCAGGAAAGGGGACCAATTCCCGCCAGAAGGCGCAAATGCTCCCAGGAGGAGACTGGATGAAGAGGGGACTCAAGGTCACCATCCCCTCTTCCACTGACCCCACCACCATCTTTGAAACTCAAGGGCCATTATCTGTACATGACACAGCCCGGAGTGTATGTTAAGGATTCTTCCCGAACCCTCGCTCAGCCAGGGTCTACTGGTTTTACTGCCAGAAAATCGACGCCCAAGTGGGGTCGCTGGCAATGCCACAGACACAGCAGCGGGGTTCGAGGTGAAAATGGGGCACGCCACGCTCCTAACGAGCCCACTCCACCAGTCCTCCAATTAGTGCCATTAAACCTACTTTTCACTCTCTTTTTTTTTAAAGATTTTATTTATTTGATAAAGAGAGACACAGCGAGAGCAGGAACACAAGCAGGGGGAGTGGGAGAGGGAGAAGCAGGCTTCCCGCCGAGCAGGGGGCCCGATGCGGGGCTCGATCCCAGGACCCTGGGATCATGACCTGAGCCGAAGGCAGACGCCCAACAACTGAGCCACCCAGGCACCCCAAAACCTACCTTTCTCTTAAATCGAGTCTCTGTCAAACCCTGCAGCGCATTAGGAAGGCTGTCATTCCATTTTTATTGCAATTCTGGAATGATTTTTTTTTTTTAATTTTCCATTATTTCAGAAGGGATTTTAAAGGCGTTAATTGGTACATTCTGGGGAGAGCTACTAACGAAGCTCTGAGCTCTGAGGCAGTGGCATAAATCTGCCTCCCTCCTAGGAAACGTTCTGCAAGGTCAAGGGGCAGAAAGGGAGGTTGGGGGGCCGCAAGAGGGCGGGAGCGTCTGCCTTTGGCCTATGGGACGCCGTAAGGGGAGGCTCGGGGGTGGCACCAACACAGCAGAGGAGCTGGGGGCTGGGGTCACAATTCTGATGGACCCGGGCTGGATTTCAGGACAAACGAAAAGAGGAGGAAGAGAAACAGAAACAGGAAACAGAAAGGCCCACTGAGGCAGCTCTTGGGCTAGTCAGACCTGCCCACTGTCATTCTTTCTCCAGCCCCATCGCCCAGCCTCTTCTTTCTTGGTCTCTGTCTGTCTGTCTGTCTCTCTCTCAGGCTGCCTTCTCCACAGGGACCTCACGGCAGCACCCATTCTGCCTGGTCAGGCAGGTTTCCCCAGAAAAGCCAAGGCACCCCGATATCTCAAAAGCCACCATGAGCGCATGGGCTTGCTTCCTTTCCATGCCTGTCGGTGCCTGTCTGCTCCTTAAATGTGAGCCCACTCCCTACAGGGTGGGCTCGACTTTGTGAGGAAAGAAATTTCTCTACAAAAACCTGCAGGAGTAATGACCTACTCAGTGGGTTATGGGTGGTGTTTCGTTTCTCCTTCAGCGTATTCTCCTAAGTTGCTACAAGTAGGTATGCATTGGTTTCCTCGAGCCGCCGTAACAAAGTTGGCTTGAAACGACAGAAATTCATTGTCACCTAGTTCTGAAGGCTAGAAGTCAGATAGGAAGGTGTTGTCAGGGCCATGCTCTCTCCAGAGGCTCTAAGGAAGAATCCTTCCTTCTTTGCCTCCTCTAGCTTCAGGTGGTGACCATCCATCTTCTCTGGGTTTTTTGGCTTGTTAGACGTGTCACCCCAATCTTGGCTTCTGCTATCACAGGCCTTCTCCCTGTCTTTCTCCCCTCTTCTTCTTATGAGGATGCCAGTCATTGAATTAGGGCACACCCTACTCCAGAATGACCTCATCTTAACTAATCACATCTGCAACGACCCCATTTCCAAATAAGGTCACGTTCTGAGGGTTGGGGCTCCGACCTATCTTGTGGGGAGACAGAATTCAACTCATAACAAGGTATTTTCAGGGCAAAAAAAAAAAAAAAAAACATTCCTTTGTCCGTTTGTTTGGTTTTTGCTCCCGGCAGAGGACCGAAGCATTAAACCAGTCTCTACGAAGAGCTGGGCTCTTCTGCATATCCTTTCCTCCCTGGCTTCAGAGAAGGAGGCCGAGAAAGACCTGCAAGCCAGAAAGGCGGCAGCCAAGTTCCCCCAGACGAACAGCACCTAGGCCCTAGTTAACCCCTGACCTGGTCCTGTCCTGGGGGACACGCTTCACCTGAGCTGAGTCTCTCGGCTGGGTCATTGGGAAACAGCGTTCTGGGTACTTGACGTTCCACACCTCACCAAGGCCAGGACTGCAGAAGCATAACCAAGAGCAATTCAGCTAGAACTGAGGTTGTGCCCAAGGGGCAGGGCTGGTGCCAAGCAGGGGGAGCCGGGCTCCACTCAGGAACGGAGCAGCAGAGAAGCCCGGGAGGGCTTCGTGGTGGCAGTGGCCGGGCTGGGGGGCGGAAGGTGAGGGGGACCTGGCCAGTCAGAGGCAGGGGACGAGGAAGGAGGAGAGCAGAGGTGTCCTACCATCTGCCCTTGTGACTTCTGCTTCTTTGGAAACTTTTCTTCCTTTAGTTCCTGGGGAATGACGACATCCGAATCTCTTCCTGCTTCTGTAACTCACTGGTCCTGCACGCTCACCTGCAGGCTTAGCTCCGGGGCTCCATCCCTGGCTCTCAGCTCTGGGCCATGGGACCAGCTCTCCTTTCCCAGAATTTCAGCACAGCCCCTGCAGACCACTCTGAGGTCTCGGCATCCTGACCTATCGCTTTCCCAGCGTCCGGGCCACATGGTCACGCTGTGCGCTTGATGTTCAAAGCAGAAGCCCTGTCCTCCCTTCCTCACTTTGCTCCCATGCCAGCTCCCGTCCCCAGCTTCTCTCTTACCTCGTCCCCTTGGCTGACATTAGTTTAGCCTTCAAAACTTTACAGTTTCGGCTGCCTCCCCTCCTTTAGTCCCAATATTTAATCAAGCAATGTACCCTGAACGTTCTCTCCTTTGAAATTGTCACCCGTTTCCCCTTTCTCTGTCATTTCCCAAATTCGAGCCAAATGTAAGCTCCATGCTTAGATAGTGAGTGCATGGTTCTCCAAGCCTGGTCCCCAAACAGCACCATCAGCATCACCTGGGAGCTTATTAGGAATGCAGACTCCCAGGCTTCACCCAGGCCTACTAGGGCATCAGGAGCCCTGGGGGTGGGGCCCAGCCATCTGCATGCGAACAAACCGTCCGGGTGATGCCCGTGCATGAGACACCTGGAGAACCAGCGGATTAGTGCAGGAATTTCCCCTGATCCCACCATCCATCCTGACTGTAACCACCAAATTCATTTACTTAACAGTCTTCCTTACTGCCAGAGCTCCACTCCAGAACCATCGATGGCTCTCAATTCCCTGCCTCATGAAGGCTTAACTCCACCGAGCCTTTTGCAGCTCCATGATTGAGTTCCATCTCTCCAAACTGGTCCTCCGCAGACTCCCTAAGACTATCTGCATCGTACTTGAGACAGTGTGTCCGCTTTCTGAGCACCAGACCTTTGAGTATATGGGCACCTGCTCCCCTCCACCCACCAATCCTGCCCCAAATGGAGTTGGATCAGGACCTTTAGAAACCCTAATCAGTGAAAAGTGGCTGCCACCCCTCTCTGGAGTGGAAATAAAAATAAACATCATACTTAGGTATAAAATAATCATGTGGAAGTCATCCAGATTACGGATTCTTTCCCAAATGAACTTGGAAATATAATTTGCTGCTTTAAAAATATATTTATCAAATTCATTTTTTAAAAGCAATTTTTGGTGCCACTCTGCTTTCTACTGCTCCAAGTTTGTGCTCAAAAAACCGGATTAGTCCAGTTCTGCCTTTGCGGATCCAAATCCTACTTACCGTGGAGTGCTCTGTTCCTTTTGCAAGTAAAATTGGATACACGGCAGTCTTATCCGCTCAGTCAGTGGGAGGGAAGGCATTTTGTTACTTTATTTCATCTGGGTTTTTTCCCCCTTTCAGCAGCTGTAGGATAGAGTAATAAATCCTACCCTACTGCTCAGTCCCCGCATATTGCCCCTCTGATAGACAAGTGTTATGGGCAGCCTTGCTAATAACATGAATCTGAAAGTCATCATTACTCCTCTAATGCTTAGACCCATTTTTCAGAATCCTTTCAGTCACCAGGCACCTGCTGAATGCTCACAAAAAATGACAGTTGCCCAGAGGCACGAGACTCTATAGTTAGCAAAGCCACCACCTGACAGGTGAGATTCATCCCCATAAGATGCTTCTCCAAAGTTTAAAAAAAAAAAAAAAAAGTCTCCTTTTAAAGTGAATCAATCAGGACTCAATGTTTGGACATCATTTATGAACCCAGCCCCACCTACATGCCAAATACCTAAGACCTTTTCATAAATCTCTTGGCAGTAAAAATATCCTATTTATAAGTTTTATACCTCCGATGTAATATACATGATACATCTGGCCCACAAAGGATAATTCTTTGGAGCTGACGTTTCTACTGGTGAATAAACTGTGACAATTGACTTTGTACAGTCTCTGGGACTCTGCAGATAGAGGTGTACCCCTTTCTGAACAACCGTGTAAAGGATAGATACCTTCCAGAGCTGCGGACACACCCCAGATAGAGCCCCTGCAATCACCCCGCCCTCTCCTCCCCTAAGCACGTTAGACAGCCTCCCCAGCACCCCAGCACTCGGGTTCCGCAGCCCATCGACTCACCCCCCATCCACGGGTTTGAGAGGAGCCTGGTGTCAGGAGGGTCCCCTGGCCTCAGGAACTTGCTGTTCCTGCCCCGTGGTTCACCGTCCATGGTGCCCTCCTGGGCCGGGCAAGCTCTGTGCTCCACTTCAGTTGCTCAGGAGAGTCCAAATTCCATGCCCCCCCTGCTCCTGGGAATTCCAGTGCTGGGGCTGGCTGAGCCTCACCGTCCTGGTCAGACGGTAGAGAACAGCAGAGAACAGAACAGGCGGGGTAATCTGAGCACTACCTGTGGTCAGACGCACGCGCCCAGACACACACACACACACACACACACACGCATGCACACACATGCTCCACCTAGCTGCCTGGAGGTTGGCCAAAGCTCACAACGGCCCCCCAGCCCCAAGTCTGCAAAGTTGCTGATGTCACGTCCTTTCCCAAACTGAGACCAATCAGTGAGGAAGCCTTGGTTTATCAGGAAGGAAAGCCAGTTTGTAACTTTTTGGAGAGCAAAGGGAACAAACAGGGTGGGGGTAAGGAAACCACTCCCTGCTGCAACGTTGTTTGCTCTGCTGGGATCCGCTTGTTCTTTGGGGGCTTCTCGTGGTTGAGAAAGCCCCAGAACCCAAGAGCTGAGAGAGCTGGTTTTGCTGCAGCCCTGCTGAATTGCTTGCACAGCAACATGCACAGCACGCCCAGGCCATCTGCACATGTGGTTTCAGTTTTTCTGGGAGTTTCTTATGGGAAAATGTGTCTATATGTTACCAAAATGCCCCTTTGGACAGAACTTCTATTTTCTTCCCTCTGGCCACAAGGATTTCCCTAAATCCTAGTGTCCTGCTTCGTCCTTCCTCCCCACGCTGTGTTTTAACTTCTAAATAAATAATTAATGGTTGCTATTGGAAAATGGGTTGCTGCAGGGCCGTGGGGTGTGGGAGAAACTTGCTACTTTGTTAATTATAAAAAGTTTTACTCTGGAGAGGTTTCACAGGCTTGCCTTTCCGAAAACAGCGGGTCCTTGTTCAGGTGGACCCAGTTTCCCCGCATCCCTGGGTGCTGCTTTAGGCTGATGGCCGTCCCAAGGGCATCTTTCTTCCCAGGGAGGGAAGGCTCTGAGTTAGTCTCAGGCATAGTCTGTCTGTGAAATGAATGTGGAGGTTTTTTTGGGTTTTTTTATTTTTTTTTACCGCCAAAGAGGGATCCCTGACTGAAACACGTGGCAGCCACATGAGGAGTGTCCTTCACATTTTAAAATGTATTTCTGTGCAGACATATGGACACACACTTATCCCTTTACATTTTTCCCATAAATGTAATTATATTACCATCTTGTCCCATGCCTCTCACACTTGTTTCATCTTGGAGATCTCTCCCCGTGCATATATAGCTGGCCCTTTCTTTCTTCACTACTGTGTAGCTTTCCATATTGGGCCCCAACTAGCTCACCATCCCCCTACGATGGAGGCAGACTGTGACCATTTCTTTCACTATCACAAAAATGCCGCAGTCCATATTTTTGTCTCAGTGGCTGTGTGTACAACTGCAAATATTTCTGGAGGAGACATTCCTAAGAGGGGGAAGGCCGGGTCAGGGGTTTGCTCCTACACATGCGATGATCTGTCCAGAACTAAAGACACACGCAGAAGTGACTACAAGCCAAACTGGAGAACTCTGAACGAGGTCGGTGGCCGAGGTCCACTGGACTAGAGGTTTGCAGAAAGCTGTCCCTGGGGGAATGTGGGCAAAGACACAGGAGCCCTCTCTGTATTGCCACTTACAACTGCATGCAAATGCACAATTATCTCAATATAAATTTCATTTTGGAATTGTTCTTTTAAGATTGAGAGAAACTCTGCCAAACTGCCCTCCGGTTCTTTGCAGAATTAACTGAACGGGCCACGGGCATAATAGGCATTGCTCACTACAACACCAGGAAAGAGTCGAAGAACTATAAAACCTGCATTTGGCAGAGACTGAGAAATGTAGTCCCCACGTAGACTGGATGACGAGGAGTTAAACAGAGAGGCACCATGGGGATCCTGAATATTAACCCCGTTCTTTTGAGTAAAATCTTCCTGGTACGGCTTCTTTATTTACCTTTAATGAAACTCCAAGAAGATACCACTTTTCCATAACCAAATTTAAGTTTATTGTCCAAAATGACAATAAAGGGGATTTCTAGGTTGTTGCCTTAGTACCTGGGAGGGAATTACTCAGCTTTTAACCTTCTCCCTACATTTATAATGTTGGTCACCTCTCGTGAATAGTGGAGGATGGGGACTGATTTTTTTTTTTTTTAACTGTTTAACCACACTTCTGGTCAGGAATTCAAAAACCATTACAAGAGAAGGTCATGCAGGGGTGCCTGGGTGGCTCAGTTGGTTAAGTGGCTGCCTTCGGCTCAGGTCATGATCCCAGGGTCCTGGGATGGAGCCCCGCATCGGGCTCCTTGCTCGGCAGGAAGCCTGCTTCTCCCTCTCCCTCTGCCTGCCTCTCTGCCTACTTGTGTTCTCTATCTCTCTGTCAAATAAATAAAATCTTAGAAAAAAAAAAAAAGAGAAAGTCATGCATTTTTAAGGGTCTATATGAGGATAGAGTTGATTTACATGTGTATGAGCTACAGTCATTCTTTATCAAGTGCAGTCTTATCAGCCAGTGCCTCTGCGCCCCCCTCACCCAGATGTCCACAGCTGACGTCACTCATGGACTCCCAGACTCTCCACCCCGCCAGGCCTTGGGGAGCCTTGAAAGTCACCTCCAAGCAGTCAAAGTCGGCCCAGGAGCAGAAACCTCTTGTCATTCCAGCCAGCCATTTTTCTAGCACAAAACCTTTAAAACCCAAAAGGTACATATCTCCTCTGATAATGTGGAATGGTCTGCCCTTCCCACAAAAAGCCGAGCTGTTTGTGCTGTTCTGGCATAGCTGGCTCTGGCGCTGAGCGAGCTGGTGCTGCTACTTGGGAGTGCACTCACTCCCACTCCATCTAGCAGGACAGCCAGATTCAAACAAGGATGAGTTCTTTAAACCGACAGAGTGCAGCATTCTTGAGGAAAACCATCAGGCAAATCAAAATTGAGAAACAGTCTGCATAACAATGGGGCTGGATTCTTCAAAAAGGCCAATGGCACGGAAGACAAAAGGGGGGGGTGGGGAGGCTTTCTAGCTCGAAGGAGACAACAGTACATGATCCTTGATCAGATCCTGACTAGGGGTGTGTTGGGAGAGGGGGGACAAGACATAAATGGCACAATCGCCAAAAGTTAAATATGGACTCATATCACATAGTCACAAGTGCATCACTGTCGAGCTTCCTGCATGTGATTACTGCACGGAGGTGATACAAAAGAATCTCTGTGCTCCTAGGAGGTGCCTGCTGAAGTGCTTAGGGCCGAGCCACATGCAGCTTGCAGAGGGAGAAATGCCTGCCCCTCTGGACACATTGTGCATCAAAGAGGAAAAGCTAATGCAAGCTCCACAGTCAAAACACAGGAGTATATATAAAGCCCTCATTGCCCAATCTGTTCACAAGCCACTGTCATTCCTCATATGTCCCAGGACCTCCAGCTGATTGGAAACATTCCTCTCCTTGCACAATTGTGTTAAGCCTGTAAGACAAACAACAGCCCATCTTTATTAAAATTTTTGATATTTTTGGTCATCGTGGGCTTTTTTCTGTAACATCTAATTTTTTTAAACATTGCACTAAAATATTTACTTCGATGATAGAGTTCCTGGGTGCCCCCCTGATATTTTTTGCAACACTCGGCCTCAGCTAATGTTGGTCTTGGGGAAGAATCATGACTTCCACAGTTTATTCATGAATGGCCCATTTAAAATTATTTGTACAGGGGTGCCCGGGTGGCTCAGTAGGTTTAGCGTCCGACTCTTGATTTCGGCTCTGGTCATGATCTCAGGGTCGTGGATCAGGCTCTCATTGGGCTCTGTGCCCAGTGGGGAGTCTGCTTGAGATTCCTTCTCTCAAAAAGAAATCAATCTTTAAAAAAATTATTAGTATATGTATTCATTATACATGGTTTATATACATATACATTCTACAGGCGTGTGCACGCACATATACACATGTGTGCGTACACACAGATGAGCAAATGTGGCAAAATGCTAAAAATGGGTGAACTGAGGTGACAGGTATCCAAATGTTCGTGGTATTATTCTTGTCATTTTTCTGTAAGCTGGGAAAGTTTCAAAACAACAGTGATGGGGGAAAATGTACCAGATAAAAATTAAAAATCTAGTGTGCATGTTTTACAGGCTAAAGTGTGTCCCATATGCTCATCCTAGTGCCGACTCGGCTGAAGAAGGGAGATTACTGACCCCGAGCGAAAGCAGCCGCTGGTGGCGGTCTGGGATGGGTGAGCTCAGGAGGTCCTCCAACGCTGAAAGCGCCCTTCCCTAGCAAGCTGTTCATACACCCTTCCTCCCTCCCCGTGCCAGCCTCAGGCACGCCAAGTCGTCTCTACCACGAGCGCTGTGGCTGAGAAAAGTATCTGTAAACCTCAGATTTCTCTGATGAGGTATTAGAAATATCAGGGAGAATCACTTTGGGAGAAACCGTCCCTTAACAAAGGACACAGGAAAACCAGAGATGTTGAATGACATACCCAACCTTTTAAATATTTTAAGGGATGTTGAAAGAGTTGAGGCTTAAGTCTCCAAATAAAACAGGCAAGCTTACTTTCTTTAAAATAATGGCTCAAGGCAGATGAGGGATAGAGTCAGATAAATGATGGATGGGTAGATAGATGAGAGACAGACACAGGGTATAGAGATTGATGTATTACATGTCTCCTTAGAGAGACACATGGTACATGGATAGGTAATACTGGATATTTGTATGGTTATGAAAATATTTTTCCCTTAAAGTGATTTATTGTGTAATATTTCCAATTATTTTTAACTATTATTTTTTTATTTTTTTTAAAGATTTTATTTATTTATTTGACAGAGAGAAAGAGGGAGAGAGAGAGAGCACAGGCAGGGGGAGCAGCAGGCAGAGGGAAAAGCAGGCTCCCCCTGGAGCACGGAGCCCCATGCGGGGCTCGAACCCAGGACCCTGGGATCAGGACCTGAGCCAAAGGCAGACGCTTAACTGACTGAGCCACCCAGGCGCCCCAACTATTATTTTAAACAGTTTTCTTAATCGGTAGATACCTCTTCTGAACATCTTCTAAGAACTACCTCAAACATTTAAAAAGATTTATTAAAAAAATGAAGTTCACTCTAGTGGTATTTGTAACAGCAAGAAATTAGAAGTAATCTAAGTATTCCAGCAATATGGAAATAGCTAAGGGATAGGATGCAACCATTTAAGAGGATAGATTCGAAGCGTTTGAAACTTAGAAGATCATTACAGTATGGTTTGGGGGAAAAGCAGGAATCAAAAATACTCTTATAACAGGATCATGACGTTAAACCAGGCAAAGAAAGCAAAACAAAACAACAAATGTGATATACTGAAAAAAGTCACTAAAACCTTCACAGTAAAAATAAACTAATAAATTTTAGACACATGCCTGAGGAATTCTTTCACAATTCAGTCACCCTGCCAGGGTCTTGCCTAATCACCTTA